GCTGATCCCATTTCTGGCTTTGCATTCCCTTGGTGGCTATATCATTCTGAGGAATATGCAGCAGATTCCCAAAGATTGCAAGGCAAGGGATTGTTTTCTGCAGCCTGGGATTTTTTTAAGGTATCCCACTTATTCTTGTCACTGCAAATAGTTGATGATGGCCCAGGGCTTATGGCCATTGCCTGAGGCACCAATTGCAGAACATCTTGATGGCCATATTGAGGAGCAGGTAAACTACTGCATCAAAAATATTCAGAAATATGCCAATGTTGTCTTCAATAGTTTACATGTTGTTGACTGTGGAGTTGGTTGAACATACATTGCTGTGAATGTCAATCATTTATGAGATACTGCCCATTCACATGATGTCTGAACCCCCGCCCATCCACATGATGTCTGACAATCTGCCCATCTGCATGATGGCCTGAGTAGGTTTATTTTTTTTGCAGTTTATGATGCACACCCATTAGCTCTGAGTACCTGCCCAATCTATGATGTCAAAGCACCCACCCATTTGCAAAATCTTGGCAACACCACCCATCCAAAGTTTGAGAGCCAGCATATCCTAATAAAATATGAGATCTGCATCACCTACTAAATCTTACATTAAATTTTGCAGCTTCAAATCAACAGTTCTCCAGTTGCAACTGGTCTAGGTAGTAGGTTGTCCATCTGTGGTGATTGACACATGGGAACATGCACCAACTGATGCACATTGGCACACATGTAGTATGCCAGGCATGCTCTGTCACCATCTACAGCTCCCACCCCATGCTCCAATGCTGAACCTGAAAATGCAATGATTGTCCCTGGGTTGTAGTGCAGCTGCAGATTCAACATTGGAATGACAAAGTCCAAGGGTGGGTAGTCACCCACAGTTACCAGCATGTCATACCATGGATCCTGTCCATTGATATCCCTGTGGTAACAAGTTGCCCAATTCACCATCATGGACATGCTGCTATATGTGGAGCTCCATATCAGCAGTATGGAGCTCATATCTGAATCCACCTGCTGTTCCACCTGTTCACCAAGGTGGATCAATGCTTCCCTGCCATCTGCATACATTCACAGATGGATGACATGCAGGATTGCAGATAACAGGGCATTGGTGTCAGACATTTGGTCAACCCATTCCCTTGTAGAAGTGTTTTCTGTCCTGGATTTGAGCAGCTGTGGGGCTTCAAGACAGATGAGCACTTTATTCATGAGGAAAGGAATGATCACCCACCCCATGACCCTGTTGAAGCCATGTGGGTGACAGGTTGATGGTGCCTTTCAACTCAGCATTATCACAGAAATATGACTTGTCCATCCACCATGCCTGTGGGGAAGCCTTTATGCTCTCCCACAGTGGTTCCCTCAGAAGATGAAGGCAGTTCCATACATCAGCCTGCCATTGCATTAAGTCAGTAGAATATGAGATTCTGCATTCCCTCACCCTTCTTTTTGGGCTGAGAGCATCTGGCAAATACCAAATGCAGATGGTGTTTGAGTCAGTCACCAGAATGGACAGCTCAGTCACTTCTGCATATCTCTCAGCAGCTTCTGCATTGCAGGTTTTTCCACCCTGATTTTTCCTGATGTTGACTGCAGAAAGATGAAAACTTCCATTGCACCATTATGATGGACTTACTTGGGCAATGATAGGCCTGTGAGATTACTGACAATATGCGATCTGCTTCACATAACACTGGAAACAGAATCAATATATCTGGAAGGGTGCAAGGTCTGCTGAATACCTCCTCTTGAAATCTGGCTTTCATGTATGACACAATGCAGTCTGTTAGTTCCATTCACCATCTGTGGGGGGTTTTAGACATGTCTTGCATAGTATTCATGCTTGGGGTGGATGAGGTTGGAGTTGTATAGTGGGCGAGCCACTTGCAGCTTGTTGGAAAATTATGGCATGTCAGGATGCTTGCCTCAATATTTTGCTGTGATCTGATCAATATGTTGTGATGCTATACATGCTATTGGTGTTGGGCCCATCTTATGTTGTGACAGCAGTGGATCTTACTAGATGGACCCATCCTTGTTTTATGGTGATATAAAAGATATTACTGAAGGGCCTGTCCATATGTTATGACCATATAAATAATACTGCTGAAGGGCCCATCCTTATGTTGTGATGCTATAAATGATATTACTGATGGGCCTGTCTATGTGTTGTGACACTGTAAATGATATTACTGACAGGCCCGTCTTTATGTTGTGACACTGTAAATGATATTACTGACAGGCCCATCTTTATGTTGTGACAGGCATACATGTTGCTATTGACAGGCCTGTCCATGTGTTGTGACTGTGTAATTGATATTACTGATGGGCCCATCTTATGTTGTGACAGGGGTGTATCTTACTAGACAGACCCATCCATCTGTTGTGACAATGTAATTGATAATACTGACCGGCCTGTCTTTATGTTGTGACATGGGTGCATCTTACTAGACAGGCCTGTCCATGTGTTGTGACCCTGTAAATGATATATATTGAAGGGCCTGTCTTTATGTTGCAACAGGTACATCTTACTATGGACAGGCCCACCCATGTGTTGTGATGGTATAAATGGTATTACAGAAGGGCCCCTCCATATGTTGTGATGCTATAAATGACATTACTGACAGGCCCATCCATGTCTTACAGTAGCTTAGCATACTTACTTGGTCATGGGCCCATCTATATGTTGCAGCATCCTTACCCTCCACAGGCCCTCCCATATGTTGTGGAATTGCATTTATGGGCCTGTACATATGTTGCCCTCACTATAGGCTCTCAGGCCTGTCCATGTGTCATGGCTAATCTATTTAGATGGGCCCATTGCAGGGTCTACATAAGTGTTGGCATTTTGGCATGCAGGCTACCTATATGTTGTGACTAAATGGACTACATGGGGTCCATCACTGACCCTGCCATGCACATGATGCTATGTGCCCAAATAAACATCAACAAAATCGTCGGACATGGGTAAGATATGGGTAATAACTCTGTGATGCAATATTAATGGTATCTCGTTTACAGGAACGATGCATTAAAAATGTCAGCCACTATATACCCTACATGGCCACCCACTCAGGCAGACAATGAAGGTCCATATTAGACACTGGTGCGCAGTTGCGCAGTGGCGATGGAATACCGGGAACAGCAACTACAACAATAATGCAGTAGCTGACGACGAGGGCGATGTACGTGGGATCTGTCGAATCGCGTATGAGGGGTGTTGTCTGGCGTGTAAGATGCCCGGAGACGATTGTCCACTCAGCACGTGTCTTCTCTTTATCGATGGAACAATATGCCTGTGGTTATCGAAGGTTTAGAATAAACAGTATGGGCATTTCTTTGGATGCTGGCGGGCCATTGAGAAACTAGGATTGTTAAGTGGTGAAGTGAACGATAAATGCATGTATATGTGGGTTCAGCTTGGGCCTATAGTATATACAACGGCGACATGTGGTGGAATAATAAGAGACGACATCTCATCGAAAAGTCGTGCCCCCTGGCCTGGGCTGCGATCTGTTAGTAGGCAAGGCCGAGATACAAAGAATTCTCAGACGTGGCAGCAGGTAGATACTAGTCCCTACCCTGTATGTTCGACTTTCAGCTCCCGCCCACCATCCACAGGCTCGAAAATACTCCCCAGCTTCCACCAGATCTGACGAATTCGTCGATGTTCTCGCTGGCCTTCGATCCTATCGCAGTCTCCAATGACAACATACCCCTGTACGCCGACTACCAAATCTTCCCCTATCAATGAAACCATCCAATAGTCCCTGGAACCGAAACAAGAACCCCAACCACAGGCTCACCTCCACTTCGAAGCGCCCTCTTCCTAAATTACAATACAGAACCTATCCTCTATTCCTACACACGGCTTCGAAGCGTGAATACCATATAGTTTACTTCATGCGTTTGACCTTGAGATAATCCCTAAGCAACCTTGCAGCTTGAAAGACGAAAACATGCATTCTCTGTCGATGGGAAACACTGAGGATCAGCAGATGGGCACCAGTTCAAAAGGTGAGAACACGCACTGGCTGTGGATAGGAAACAGCAAGGAAAGGATCAGAAAACGGCTAGAAGCCTGCAAAGTGAGAACACGCACTTTCTGCAAACAGGTAAGAGCAGGGTAAGGGTCAGCAAATGGACAACAGCTGAAAGCATGAGCGAACTCACAGGCTGGGGATAGGCAGTAGCAGCTCAAGCATTAGCCATTGACCGGAAGTTCGAAATGCTAGAACACGCACTTTGTCATTCTGCAGGCGTGCAAATGCAGGTTAGGAACTGGCCAGCACCCCAAAATACAAGGCCACCTACCTCCTGGAGGCAAGAAACAGTAGTGAGATGGTCAGCAGATGCCAGGTAAATCAGGAGTCACAACACACCAGCTGTGGTTGTCGGTCAATGCCAACAATGTCAGTAGAGTCGAACACAGGAATATATTTACATCCTACTCACCACTCGGATCACCAAAAAATTGCGAATGAGGTTATCTGCCTCCTGGCTCGGTTTATCATCGTTGGGCTGTGAACCTTCCCTTCTGACTATTGTCCCTTTGGTGCCTGCAATCTGAAAGCGTCGCTGGCAGCGGCGACTTTTGGTTCAATGTAAGCCCTGTTTGATTGCAGAAGGGGGTGGGTTTACCATGTGATGATGCAACCACGTGCCAGTGCATTCAAAAGTGTGGCTTCGTCAACCTTGACATCATTCCGAGTACCACAGCGACACCGATATCTTGCAGAAAATTTCCTGACAACCTCTGTAGTAACAATCCTCATGACGATTTTGGTCCCTGGCTGAATAGTTGACCAGCCATCACTTTGACGCCTCAGTTGGGTCACGTTAATGCCATCGTCAATCGCAAAATTGTATTGTTGCCTGTTAATATACCATCGTTGGACCTCAGCTTCATTCGGCCGACATTGGTCAAGTACGCCAGGTAGAAAGGCAACTAGCCGCTAAAAAATATGGTAAGCTTCATGCATCCACATCTGTGCCACAGGAACGAACATCAAAAGAACTGCACTGATCAAGCAACATGTCATGTTGCCGACCCGTTGCGTCAACCAGTGTGACATGACCCGATGTCACGGTTAGTGGTAATGACCCTCCTGTCTCCAGCATCGTCACAATACGCTTGACATCTTGGGTTTCCACTCAATAGGTGTCTCTGCTTCAAGTGCAACAAGATTCATACCAGTATGAACTTCCATTTGGGATGAGAACTAAACAAAGGAGAATACGTCAGGAATGGATGGACGAAAATATCACAGCAAGTATGCAACATCACCATGTAGTCGGAAATATAACGGGAGATCTCGCTCAAACATTCAGCTATCTCTGCCGTAAGCAAGGGGGATCCAACTATGATACGACTTCTCAATTCCGACAGTTTGCTTGCACCATCTTCCAACTGGCTGATGACTTTTATGTTAAGATACCCCTCGCATATTTCTCCAAGCAACATACCATGTCAAGATACGTCTCCTTTCTTCTTCGCTGGGAGTCCGAGTGGGTGGGGCATTGATCAAATGGCGGCTGAGGCTGTTCAATCGGTCATTGACAGTACTCAAGCCGTGCTTGTTCTGGGCGCGTTGCTATGATAGTATGATTTAGAATCCAGAATAATACTTGAAAGGTGAGAAAAATTCACGTCTATATCTTTCAGAATAGCATGCAGACCGGCGATCGCAGCCTTCAGCCCCGCACCAGCGACGGGGATTAAGCCCACGGCTTCCTGTACGACAGAAAAACTTATCTGAAGGGCGTCAGAGACATTACGAAAACATAGGACACGTCGGGAAGTCCTGGGGGGACAGACGACTTTCGAAATTTGCTGATTCACAGCAGGGGAGGTTCGGTGCGAGTTCGAAGCAATTATATGGGTGGAGACATCGTACGAGCCTCCAGCAACAGAAGAATCATGCAGCGTCCCGGTGGATTTGTCACCCCTCCACAGTCTCTTGCGGGCCATTTCACTAAGACGACGAGAGCAGGAAGGACGAGAGCAGACAATGTGGAAGGTAAGAAAGCGAGAACGACCGCGTACAAAACACTACTGGGCCACAGCATATGCACACGGTTCTACACAGCAATAGCCCACTTGAGTTGAGTGGCCGCCTCAGCCCGGCTGTAAGTATGCTGGTGAGAGTGCACGCAGCCGCATTTGCGCACGCTAGAAGTCAATTGAATTACAATCTAGCTACTTACGCACCTCGCCATCGCACTAAGTCACGTGAACCCCAAGTGGACGCTCGACTTTCTGATGGTCGCAATATATGAATGAGATGTGAAAGAGAACAACGTAAAAGGCGATGTGTGTATGATTCCTGTTCCATGATATGAGTCAATGATCTGACTGGCGGACACGCTGTGAACACAGACTGGATAAGTACTGCCAACAACTTAGTTGTCGACAGTGTCACGTAGATGGCAGCTCTATCGAGATGATTTGCAGTAGTGTGTGAAAGTGTACAGTATAAGTCTTATGCCGCTGTGTCAAATATGACGCTTATCTTCCGCGCATTCCCTGGATGTGTGCTTGCCCGGTCGAAGAGCGGCACTGTCGAGAGAGCATATCCACTTGAGGAATAAACGGGGGCGGCATTAAAGAGCATAGGTTACCTTCCCACCGGTTCATTAAACTAAACATTCCTGTAATAAAGCATGAACATTTCCTGACTGGACCACAGGAGCTGCGAACAGGTCCGTGAGTCACGTCATTTACATAGCAGACGCACAAACACAGAGCGGTTGAACCTTAAGGTCCAGCCTAAGTTTCACCAGTACCACCTGCCACCGCATCTGGGTTCAACCTTTGCAACGGTACAGGGCCAGAGATTTCCAATGTGTTAGCAAAGTTCTAAACACAGAAAAAAAAGGATACATCATGGCTAGTAACTATCAACTTGAGTTGTTTCGTAGTGGAGGAGCTCGATGCTGTCCATCGTTCATTGCTGGCTATAGCGTGCTGTCTCCTGGGACTGGGAGAGTGGCAGGAGCAGGGAGACGTGGGAATCATGATGACGCTTGCTGTGTGGCGTCGACTCCGCACCAGAATTGCTTGTCACCAGCTTTCATCAGAGGGACAGGGAATGACGAAATCACGGGTCACGACCAGTCAGTGACAGGTTTAAACAGGTTTAAACCATGTATTCGCTTCCAGATGCCACTTGCGAGCAACTTGTACGGTCATGTCCTTGAAATTAAACCATCTGCTGACAACAACATGGCCCATCAAGGATGCCTTTGGCCCAAGATGCAACAAGCACATTTCGCACTCGATGCTGGCCATGAACCAGAGTATCACCAAATGTTAACAATAGCATGACATTCAGAGCATGCTGGGGTGTACACCTGTGCCTTACGTCCAGTACCAATGTTCTCACTGTCTCAGAGCAGTGCCACTGATCCTGCATGTCACCCCAAGTCAGTGAAGGGCTCTGCAATTAGCTAAAGGGCAGCCAAGTTGATATGGTAGATGACGTGATCTCACACGATCCATGATGCCAAACAATGGTATGATGAAGGTAGCACCATCGAATATGTACGGGGTATCACGTTCGCTTGAACGATGTGGTTAACTTCAATCGACACACCCTACACGCACGCACACGCACCAGCCTACTCAGATAGACGATGAATGTCTACATTAACCACTGGAGCGCAGTCACACAGTGGTGATGGAATACCGGGAACAGCAACCACAATGATAATGCGGCAGCCGACGATGAGAACAATGTATGTGGAATCTGTCGAATCCCATATGAGGGGTGTTGCCCAGCGTGTAAAATGTCCGGAAACGATTGTCCGCTCAATACGTGGTCGCCCACGCGGGGTTCTGGTATTGAAAGGGGACAGTGCAGCCACGTCTTTTACATGCACTGTCTGCCCAAATGGCTAGGAACGCCTGCGTCGAATCAACAAACTCCGATAGACCGTTCATCTTTGGGTTTATCTCCTTAGAACCTTGCTGACTGCCAAGCTTCAGCAGACCATCATCCCCGGATATGACCCTAACGTCTCCAATTCCTTCAGCATGATGGAATAGCTGACGATGGTGCCCAAATCCTTTCCCCGATCTGCCTCCACAATGACCAGATCACCCAACCGAATGTTGGGACTGGGGTCCGTTAGGTGGGAAAGATAGGTACGACCAGCTTTGAATTCGCTGGGACTGATGATGGCGGAACGCCTCTATCGTGAGGCCAGATCTGGATTGAGATCGTCGTCGGAGAGTATCAAGCCACCACAGCCGAAGAGACCGTGGAACACACTTGAACAAGCTGCTGCGACTGACTCGTCCTGGGTGTCGTGGCCAAGGGCGTTGAACCCAACGATGGTGGCCCGCCTGGGTGGACGGCACTCACGCTGTGACGTCTGCTCGTCGTGCTACTTCCTCCACCACCGCGCTCGTCCTTCGGTTGGGCTGGTTCATACCCGCCCATACATGGTTCGTGAAGGGCAGAGCCGTTATCCAGAAAGGTCTGACCAACACCTCTGACAGGCAAGTTCATATTGGAAGGGTCGATGGTGTTATGTCCCCAGTCATTATTGCTGTTATTGCCATTCCCCGACGATAAGTCGAACCGGGTGCTGCCCATGGGCGATCTTCCAATGATCAGAACCAGGTGACTTTACGTTCGCAGAGCGAGATGGGACGTTAAGTGAGTTACTGGGAGAATCTGATGATGGAAAAGAAGGCCAGATGTTCTGCTGTGGGGGGGACTGAAATGGACCAGACGCTGGACGGGTCGTCATGATCGTTGCCAGCAATGAGGAACTTGTACCGACCACCTCGTGCGGGACGGAATTCATTTGACTGTGGTTGACTGATCAGAGCAAGTGTCCCCTGAAATTCCAGTCATGGAAGCACTACCCTCAGCGCGAGCCTGCGATTGTCCCTGTGACGGATTATTCGTTGTCGATACAGTAAGCACAAATGAACGAAGTAGTACACCGAAGAGCGGTCAGATGTGGAATGAAATTTCTTTGGATTTTGGCGAGCCATTGAGAAACGAGCATTCTGGTGAAGTGGACGATATGCGGGTTCAGCTTTGGCCTCAAAGACAACAGTACACGGTGGAGTAGAAGAGACGAAGTCTCATCGAGAAGTCGTGCCCCTTGGTCTTGGCCGCGACCTGTTAGTAGGCAAGGCCGATAACGCAAATATGTCAGGGTGTACAACGAGTTCTCAGACGTGGCAACAGGTGGGTACACGCTCGGTCTTGCGTTCGGTGATCCAATTTGCCCGAACGCCACACCAACCGACGACCTGCATCACTGGTGGTGGTGGTGGTGGTGGTAGCGTGGGACGAAGGAAAGTGACCCTGCTGAAGTAGCCCCAAAGGAGTTTCTATCCTGTACGATCGACTTTCAACTCCCCTCCACCGTCCGCATACTCGAAAATGCTCCCTAGCCAACGAGCAGACACAGCTTAGCGAAGTACCCACTCGACCGCCTCCACCAGGTCTGACGAGTAACCCGTCCGATATTCCCCTGTATTGAAGCGAGAGCTCCAGCCACAGGTCCACCTCCACCTCGAAGTGCCCTCCTCCTAAATTGCAATACGGAACCTATCCTCTATCTCTACGCACAGCTTCTGGGTACTCTCTCGATTACGCGTTTCCCAGGTGCAATGATATCGCTGGAACTTGCCAAAGCACTCGCTGCACTCTGGATGCAACTAAAACATTCTATGGTCGATGGCGGCAGTATGGATATCACGACATCGACACCGAGTATGCACAAGAACGCAGTATACGGCAAGGTCGGACGTTATCGCTGGTGACTAAACTGTTTTTGCTCCTTTCGCCGTCGAGTTCATGTTCTGCGCCATCATCAACCCTGCATGTTGATGCGCCTAACTTCCGTTTTGCTACCACCAATATCGTCGAGGGAGAATGCAGCCTGACGTGCTCGACACCAAAAGAGTAGCGCACCTTTACTTCCCATTTCCCTTCAGCCCAGAATGCCCCCGCGTGGTGGTTACAGGACGCTAAGTGCATCTCTCAAACGCTGACCCATGATCTACATGTCTCTGTTGGCCGGGCGGTGGCAGATCACCTTTCGAATATTGAAGTTTTGTTGTAATACCTGACGCACAGAGGTTATTGTGCTACATCTCTGTCGTCTCGTCTTAGTGTTTTCACAGTCGACGCATGTTCTAGTTATCGGGTCTGTCGGAATTATCCTTGGCGTTGGTTACTGTTCTCATTATCCAGTGCGTGAATTCTATCCCATGTTCTGGATGCCAAGAGGACTAGTAGAAGAAGCAATGCAAGTCTAAAAACGAGCTCGTTCTGAGTTATGAGTAGTCACCAGTGTCCCGAACCCACCTTGTTTCTCCCCGACAGTCCGGCCGATCTTCGGATGCGATCCGCGAGAGTCTCCAGAGGCTCTGAACCCACTGAAGATGCCGTTTTGTACGATTCGGAAGTAAGGTTACTGTACAAGGTTACGCACCGAATGAGGGGTTATCTGGATGGCCGACATGACGCTAGTAATCCAATCAATCAATGGCGACCACGCCATGGGTCCGGATAACCTACTGACATATGCCTTTTGAATTTGCGAAATACGAAAATGGGGTAAGGAATACATGTAGGCGTAAGAGGGAGCATCGACGTACATTATGGACCACAAGAGCCTCCGGAGTCTCTAGGCCCATGAATACGCCGCTTTGTGCACCTCGGAAGTGAGGTTACTACACGAGGTTACGCACCCAATGAGCAGTTATCTGGACGGCCGACATAACACTAAAAGAAGGTCTAAACGATCAGTACCAACTACGCCATCAATCCAGACTATCTAGTGACATGCTTTTTAAACTTACACAACAAAATATGGGGCACCCTTGGCAGCAGTTCTTGGGCCTTCCCACGGTCTTTAGATATATTTATTGTGTACGCAATAATGTACCTAATAGATGCCATTATCAGGGGGAGGTTCCAGCCAATTCCAGCAATGGTCGTGAGGCACCCTCCCTGCCGCTAATGGCAAAGATCAACGTTGTGGGGAAGGTAAGCTGAGCGTGTTACATCCCTCTACGGAGGTCCACCCGTCTATCGGGCGAGATTCGCCATGTAGCTAGGCGGGATCTTTGAGTGTTTTCTATCCCTCCCAGGAGGATTCCCAAGCCATTTTCCGTCGTTCATCTACCTATGTCCCAACCATCTGTCAGAGGCACTAATCAGACTGGGAGGGTTCTTCGCGTATTTTCTATCCCTCCAAGGAGGCTCCTCGAGGCTTTTCCTGGGAGCTCATCTAAGTATATACCGACTATCTGCCAGAGGTACTCCTCCAATTTTGTTTCGCAAACTTTATGTTGCTAAATCACAACGCATTAATATGTCACGCATGGAAAGGTGTATTGCATGATGACTAATACATGGCATGAGGTAATCCCAAGTCAAGGAAGAAGAGCGTGAAAATAGAACGTTCGGGGTAGATGCGACTTGTAAATAGAAAAAGACATAGATCAAGATACGGACATCAAAATGTTGCCACCCCACTAGATGCAGGATCTTCCACAGACATCTGACGGACTACTCACCAGATGACCTTGACGTTGTCAGTGTCACCAAGACACGAGGGGGGTGGGTACACTGTGAGCAGAATTAGGGATCAGGGAGGGGGGCAGTTCGTTCAGGGTGGTGCGAGGTCATGGTGAACGTTACCGCCAAAATGGTAACCTGGCCCATGAGCGACAGCGGCATGTTGGGCACCATAGTTTGGATGCCCTGTGTTGTTGGTGGAGGGGATGTGGGAAGCACCAGGGATCTGCATACGAGCCATGGTAGGCAAGATGGGGTGGGGGATATGCAGGATGGTAAGGAGCCGCTGGATGGTTGTACCACCCTCCATGTAAGCCAGCGTTGTAATCATACGGTGCACCCAGCATCTGCCATGGTGGCACTCCAGGCCCAGGGAGCTGATCAACTAAAACTGTGTTGCTGAGACAGATGGACAAACAACTCTTGGCGAGATATAGGATGGGGAGTGGGGTAAGGGTGGGGCAGATGAACTCCGCCCACTGTCAGATTGGAGTGCCCACTGTGATCGCTTCCCTGGGGACCATCAGCTTCTCCTTTAATTGTAGGCAAATGACCTTCCTTGGCAGCCAAAAGTTTTGCAGACACTGTAGATGGACACTTGCCAGATAATCCCGGCTCATCCAACTTGGGAAATGCCCAGTGCTGAAGGTTAAATGGTTCAGGCTCATCACCTGAATGGGTTCCACCCTGCACAACATGAGGCCTCGGGCGCTCTGCTTGACTTGTCATCAGTGGATTGACATAGATTGCTGGGGGTTCTAAGTGGGATGGCTGTGGAATCAATGAACCCAATCCAGTGGTGGTGTTGCTCATACAATGGGAGAAGAAGTCCATGTCTGAGGGGGCAGTTGGTCCATCACCCTGTCCAGTAAAAAGGTTGGTGGCATCACAAGTATCCAGGCTTCTTGCAGCTGGCATAACCAATTTCAGGGCTAGACAATCGATAGTGATGACTCATTAGTAGTGCACATAATCAAGGTAACTGTATGCACCTCTAAAACTATTGCCTTTCACTCCAGGAGTATTGTGTGAGTGAGCACTATTGCCACCTGACAGTTCCAGGAGCATCAGATAAGTTGTTGAGAATGCCATAGGACATCCCAGAAGTGTCTGGCAAACTGGAATATAATGGTGTCAGAAGAGGGTTCAAGTGAGAAGTGACAGGGACTGGACAGATTATCAGAGTCAGTAGGCAAGATATTGCAATCAACAGAGCCTGCCCAGGGTAATAGTAGGGATGATTGCCTTTGGAATGTTGACAGCCTCCTTGTGAGAGTCCCAAACATCGCATGAAGTATGTTCCTTTGCAGAACTGGGAATGTCAGTATGATGAGCAGAGTTGGGAATAATTGGAGGGGCATGCACCCATGCAGTCTGAACAGACTCCTTGTGAGCATCCAGTGGAACATCAGATCGAGTACCTCTCTGCACAGAAGCATCCTCCTCTGATGAAATATATGTTGGTGAAGAAGGAATGCAATGGTGGGCCTTGCTACTGGTTGTAGGAATCGATGAGCCTTTGAACCTTATGGTCTTGCTCTGTTTAGATACACAGCCCTTGCTACACAAAGGTGAGACATTCCTTTTCTGCTTCAGATCGCCCACTTCACAGCCCTTGACTTTATGCTTACATGACAATGGTTCTTGTGCATAGTCAGAGTCACTGTCCTCAGCACCATTCCTTTCAACCTCACCATTGTCTATATCCATCTCACTGTCCTGGACACCTCAGGATTGTTGATCAGGCAGGTAGTCATTGCTGGGCAACTTGCTTTCAGAGATCGAGCTATTGTCAGAGATGACAAGTTTGGAAGTTGTTGTGATTTTTGACTTGGAAGACCATTGAGGATGCAATATACCCACAAGCTGCATCCCAGAGGTGGTGGTGGAAGTACCAGGCTTGGCCACAGGAACCTCTTCGATGCTGTCAGAAGTGTTGATGGCGGCCAAGTTTCCCTTCTTGACATCACCTCTGGCAGGTGTGGCCTTCTTCAGCTTAGTCTTCTTGACATGTGTGGCAGATCAATCAAGGGGTCAAGCCAGTCTGAGGTGGTCAACTGTGAGACTACAGAAGATCCACTTTCCCCTTGGCAGTTTTGAGTCAAATGATGGTGGGGTGCTGATGATAACTGGACTCTTGGATGTCAGCAGATTTTCTATAGCTGCATTAGTACTCATTGACCATAAAAAAATGGAGGACATACTTTTATTTTTGGGGTTGTGCTGGATGCAGAGTTTGCTTTCACTAGTGTCCACAAGCACAGCAACGAGCTTAGAACAGTCTGCACATGTGAGGTCTGAGATCCCTTTCCCAGATGCCTTGCCACAGCATTCCTCACCTGGGAGGATAACATCTGCTGGCCAGTTATACATGACGAGTGCACTGCCTGCCAGCTGATTTGGGAGAGACTTCCAGGGAAATAGCTTTTGGGATGCCCATTTGAATCCAAAGTTTTCTTTAAGAATCATTAGATGACTAGGAAAGCTAATATTGGAAGGACGCACTGATAAGCTTTCGAAGATGTTGTTTGACTTGATCATGATCAGGTCACTCACTATTTTCAATAATCTTGACTTCATCATCAGACTGATCCTTCTTGAAATTGACAGCACATTGTTTCCCTTTTCCTCTGCAAGCAACTACCTCCTTAGCTTCTTTGGTGTAGTCTTTGAAGACTTCAGCCAAACTATCAAGAGACACCTTGTTGCTAAATAAAAGATATGAGATGGTGAATCACTAACACCAACACTAATTACTATATATGTGCCTTGAAATGCCTGATGATTTCATTGGTATCTGCATGACAATGAGAACAAAAGAACTATAAAATGAATATTGAGTACATGGTATTGAAACATGTCATGCAGTAACTTACTCCTTTGGCACCTGCTGTAGTGAAGGCATGGGCAAGTCCAACATCTTGGTTCACAATCTTCCCAGCCAACATGTACATGCCTTCAATCCCATGTGCTTTTGAGAGTCTGGTGAACTATAAGAGAAAGCATTCAGCATGTACTATAAGTAAGATGCCTAAGAAACACCTACAATGTGATCTAGATTCTTCATGGACTTGTTGAAAAGTTGCTGACACTGAGAGACTGTTCCACCTAAATCTTGCAGTTCTTCTGACTCCTTCCATGTTTCCAGGATGTCAATGTAGTTTTCTGAGTATACTTCTTTGAAACATGCATAACACTGCTTCCTAATATCTATGGAGGGGCTCCCTTTGATTGTGTGGTCGCCCTGAGGGAGCTGGGCAAGTTCAGATTCTGGGTTCTTTGCAAAATACACTGAGTACACATTCCAAAGATTTTGCATGTTTGAGTGAGAATATTGGTGATTGTAGCAGTCCTTGACTTGTTGCCATGGCATTCCTTGACTTTCCCCAAGCTTGCTGAATATTTTGTTGACCTGCTGAAAGCCCTCATTGAATTCATCTATAGTGGTGGCTGGCAACCTCCCACAAGTATATAGACTGTCGTTGCCATCCCCATCATGCCCATCAGTCTTGACACTGAGCATGTTTTCTTGAGAGGGTAGAGGTGATGGCTGATCATGTCCTTGCAAAGGGCTGGAAGTGGCATGACAAGGAGTGGGTGACTCTGGACAAGTAATCAATGACATATCAGAAGGTGGAACAATCTTGGAAGTCTGACAATATTAAATGACTAGATGATTGTCTGGGGGTGACGAGTACTTACATTGTTGATGGTAATGAAACTCTCTGTAGCTTTGAAGCCCAACCTATCCAGAGCCAAAGATGGAGCCAAACCATGGGTGCGAGTCAGCACTGATGTAGAATGTGGCTTGTGAACTATGGGTGCTGATAAACCAGGAAGTTGCTTGGATGACACTGCTGCAGAATTGAGAGGGGGTACAGAAGGTCAGTGGGGAGGCAGCTTGGATGGTGCTGCCACAGTATTGAGAAGGGGGGGAGAGGGTCCATGGGGAGGGGTCTTGGATGGCACTGCTGCAGTATTGAGAGGGGGGGGAGAGGGTCTGCTGGGAGGGGTCTTGGATGGTGCTGCCAGGGTATTGAGAGGGGGGGCAGAGAGTCCAAGCCCAGGACGTGGTGTGTCATTGCCTTCAGCAACTAGATTGATATAAATAGTGGAAGTGTCCTTCAAAAGCAGTAAATGACTCACTGGCAGCTGTACTGAGGGAGATGTCTGACCAAACTGTTGGGGTAGGCCAGATAATGGGTTCTGACAGGAAAGGATTGATATCATTGTCAGCATCTTGGGAACCCCCCATTGGAGACATTGGGGGTTTGACTAGGGGCAAATGACCTTGGCAGAGTGATGCCTCATGAACTAGACTGGTGTCTCAAGTGGTTGCCTTGATTTTCTGGTGGAGATGTGTTAGAGTCACCACTGGGGCTGGTGATGGATTGCAGCGACCACCCCCAACCTGGACAATGACAAAATCATCCTGTCTGCTTGTAGATTGTCCTGGATATGCTGGGAGAGTGTTTGGGCATGTCAGTGCAGGTCATGAGGAACTACCCAGAGGGTCAAGCACTCCTGACTTGCTAGAATCTCGCATTTTTTTCTGAACAACATCAGATAGTGAGATATGGGATAGATAGTACAAACCAAAGTCACAAAAATTTCCAGTTGCACAGGGATTGGTGAATGGAGGGAAAGTACAACCAGGACTGGTGCACCATCTTTATGCAAGATGAGCATTGCAGCAGATCTAGTGAGGATCGCAATGGGCATCTCAAGAGTAAGGCAGTCAGAAGCTTTCAAAGAAGGAGAAGGGACATGATAATTCCAAGCCAAGGAGTTGTCTTGAGATGGTGATGGCAAACTTTGAATGGAGAGGTTGGAGAGGGTGCAAAGAGGCTCTAGGTAAGAATGTGAGAGCATTTGCTGTGATTTTTTCCCTGGATCGCAAAGTATCCTGAACCCTTCTACTCGATTTTTGGGCAGAATGACCATAGCAGCAGTCATTGTGGTGTGAGTCAAAGTGAGGTTCAGTGGTGAAAACCAACCAAAACCAACACAAAAGACAATGAAAGCAAGTGGTGGTGTGCCTATGCGGTACCTAGATGGTAGAACCTGTTCTTTGGGAGGGTTTTTGCAAGCTACAACACTCAAAGATGAGTGCTGAGGGTTGGGGGTGCTCCTGACAAAGAGGGAGCAAGAATGTGATAGAAAGCGATAGGGTAGACTGCTGTCAGCCTACAGAAGGATGGATGGTGACTTAATTCGATGTCCTAAGCTGTACTGAGCTCAGGGAGGGCTTGGAGCAAAGTATATGGATGATAGATGATGATAAGCAAAGTAGATGATAGCTAGACCCTTAATAAAGTCTCAACTATCAAAGCTGATGAATGATTTACTGAGAGATGATAAATTGCGAGCAAGAGGGGCTCTCTGATGTCTTCTTCTTTTTTTTGCTACCTAAGTACAGTGACTTATATACAGTACAGGGGCGTTGCCTATGGAAAACAAGGTGCAAACACTTGGTAAGTGATTGGTAACTGATGAGTAAGGAATGTAAGCGATGGGTAATCATCTTGGAAAGCATTGGTAAGCATTGGTAAGGATAAGTAAGCCAAAAAAGCGAAGAATCAGTAAGCAAAGTCAAAAGATTGGTAAGTATTGGCAATAGATGAGTCAAAGACAGTCAGAATGTCACAGTATGAGTCAAGCAATGTCAGGAACTGGGAAAGTGCACTGGAATCACATTAGGGGGAGGCCGTGCATGTCACATCTCGAAGAGATCACTTCTAGGCCAAAGTGGGATGACAGAGAGGCAGCACTGATCTGATGCCAATATAGTACATCCAAAAGCGGACAGGGTGAGTCAGATGTCAACAGGGGTCAAGCTTTGGGGGTCTGTGGGGTGACAGGAGCATAGGGGATTGCAACTTTCCCCCCCAAACCATCCTCTTAGTGAAGCAAATAAAAACTTCATGAATGAGGCTCTGTTGGAAGAGAGGATGAAGGGGGAGCGTCTTCTGCTGTATCTTGCAACAAGGAGGCAAGATGTGCATCATACTCGTCATGGATGCGATCAGGGAGAGTGGAGAACAGTAGATTATACTGTAGCTGTCGCAATTTTGGAAGAATGACAGATGAGACTGGTATGAAGACATTGCAGGGGGCAGGGAGGAAGGATCCATATGCTTCTTGGACCGGAGAGACTGAAACGACCACATAAGACCTTTCCAAGTGAATGACAGACCTGAGGTGACCAAAGAATGTCCTCCTGGAGGTCATACTGACAAAAAGAACACGCTGTCCAAGCTGGATGGGCTGAGAGGGGGCAGATGAAGGTGGGATGTACCAGGACGCTTCAGGATGGAAGCTGGTAGGAACTCCTGGTAGATACATGTAGCCATGGTCCCTAGCAAAGGGGACAAGTGAAATGACTGATGTGGAGGCAGCCATATCAGAAGAATTAGTGAAATGAGCATCTTTTGGAGGGAGTGCTGTAGAAATGTGTGGAGTACACAAATCCTTTCCAATCTTGGAAGGTAGGATCACATGGCTGAGCACTACAAGCGAGTGTGGGAATGGTTTCGGTGTCTGCAGAATTGGTGGAGATACATCGAAAACAGGAATGCCATACATGGGCACTTAAGAACTTTATTGGCGCTTAACTTGCCTCCTCCTTTTTCTTTGGCACTGACAACTTGTTCTTGTGTGAGGGATGACTGCCAACATTGCTGGCTGTCCTTCCTCACATGAGGGCTATGGTCTTCACCTCCATTCATCAGCTACATCCATGTCCACCTCACCAAACACCTTTGGTGTGTGACAGCGGGTCATCTATGAATAGTGATCAGTAGTGGTAAGGCGCTGAGGACAGACTTGGAGTGTGACTTGGAATGCTGAGGAAATGTGTCAAACTGGTGTGCAATAACAGTAGCCAATCACAATCTGAATAGCCTTCCTACTGAAAGGAAAACATAGCTAGAACACCACCAAATGTGTTTTTGCAGGCAGAAAGAGTCAGAAATGTTGCACTACTTCCCCCCCCCCCCAACAAATGTCACCAAAATTCATATGTGTTATGCTACAATTTATCCTAACTGTGACCATCTGATACTTGGCAGCAAGTGTGTAGTACTCTGGTTTTGTACTTCACCAATGTGTCACAACTGACTCAAGTTAGCCAATTGTCCCTTACTGAACTTCACAGTTATATGGGACACACCACTAAATACTTCACTCTACACAAAAGACAGACCACTGAATGCAGACAGAAGGCCATCTATGCATCAACAAAGTAATTATTCCTGTGTTTCTACAGTTCAATCCTCGATTACAACACATTTCAGAGGCAAAGAACTATGACCTGCTCAGAATCACCATGCATACCACAAGCATGCTGGACACCATCTCAGTAAAGATGCTCTCTGTTTGATGATTCCATCTGTGTCAAGTATCATCCATCCCAGTGTCATTTCCTCCATCCCATCCCTCCTGCCAGCTCTTATTGCCTATGCGACGATACCTCTACCTATGTCACCCCTATTTCTGGAAGCCACTGAGAGCACTGATGCTTTGGATGAATCAGATCTGCTTAAGTGGGAAAGAGAGCCTCTGTATATGCACACTGAGCCAGACCCAACACCAGAAGAACAAAGGTTTACACACAATCTGGTGGATGTCATGCTCAGGTGACATGCAAGGCTGTTAGGAGAAGCAGATACTCATCAAGCGAAACGTCTTGAAAACGGAGACCATCAGCAGGTGTTCACTGAACTGATAGGCAATATTGCAGAGAAGTTAGTGCAATGGTTGGCCATATATGATACTATTGGGGGTCCTGGCATGTCAGGCAACTGCAACATTTGAATGGCAGCATGTTGGCTGCAGTGGCAAGCTCAGGATATCTACCATATTACACAAGAAGCATTGGAATTGGAAAATGGCAGGGATTGTTATGCAGGTAGTTCATAGTTACACTGGTATGCGAAGTATAAGACGTTGGAGATAATGATGAAAATCATGCATATCCACCTCATGCAAGTTCATAATGTCACAGCCTCGCAGAACTGCTGCGACCTGAGCCAAAACCCAAAGTCCACAGTTGTACACTTTTGATTGCAGAGGGCCAAGCTAGTAATTTGACAAGGGAGCCATTTTCACATGTATTTTTAGTACTTACTGCAATCGGGTGTGCAGACCAGCTTCCAAAATCTCTCCAAGGAATTCCAAGCCTCTTCGAGGCTATGAGGGACGGGCAAGTGATGAGATGGGCAATATCCTGTGAATCATCAGTAAGAACACTAGACAGACATGACAGAATACCTTGATGTCACATTTCCAAGGTTTTTGTTCTGCAAGACTGTCAAAAAGGAGTATTTGTTTTGAAGTAAACTTGACAATGCAAATGACCCAATGGCCAACTGGGGATGGTCAATGGATGGGGAGTATCCAGATGGGTTTCTCCCAATAACACGTTCATGAGGTGTTGCACCACAAAATGTTGTCTTCAGCATGGTATCAAATGTGGGGGAGATCGTGAGTCAACAGTATCACACACCTTGTGGTGTTCAACAACAGAAATTCTGAGTAGAGTAGTGCAGCACAGCCATTGATACAGCTATCATTGAGCAAACCAGTGGCAGAAGTGAGCCACTCATAGTCATCCAGCTCAAAGATGTACTGAGGAAAACCATCCTGTGATTGTTGGACGTGCCTTGCATAAACACCACAGACAAGAGGCAGGTCATTGTGGACATTGATCATATCAACCACAGGGATCTGTGTAGCAAATTAGTCAGGACTTGTGTGCTTGAATGGAACTTATGAAGGGAATTTCCCAAACAAGATTCATGTTATGAATCTTTTTCTGATCCTCATCATTGTTGGACAAACCACCTTCATCAGCATTGGATGGTACATCTTCAAGAATGTCTGTGAACACAGTCTGATCAGAGTCCAAAGTGTGTTCTCCTGCATCAATGTCAGTCAGTGGTAACGTGGAGTCTGCCTCGCTAAGGACATCCACAGATACATCACATTGAATAGGTGGCAGCCATCACAGCTCAAGAGGGGTGGGGGTACCAGCGAGGGAAGTGGAAATAGCCTGTGTGCTGTGGGCTTGACTCGCATAATGAACTGTGGAGGCCAATGGTGTGGCCCACCTTTCCTGCATCTTGGCCAGTGATTTGCAATGTTGTTGAAGAACCAGAGAGTACATAGAATCTTAAAGATCTTTAGATCCTGAATATAATCAGCAGTACCTTGACTTACTTTCTGGCTGCTGAATTGCAAGCTTGACAGCACACAGCTTGCTGCCAAACCATTGGCACATGTTGTCAGCCTCCATGCCAAGGCAGTGTTGTTCTTCGAGACAGCAGTCAGTCTTCAGGACTGCTCTAATGTCCTCTCTCATGTCAGAGTCTTGCAACCACCGCAGGATTTCTCCAATAGAGGGAGTGATCCAAACGTCTTTGAAGAGGGATTGGTCGTTACATAGTTCAGCTAATTTTGTTGGGAGTGGCAAAGGAAGGGGGATGCCAGATGATGCATCATATAGTTTTGCAAGACATTCACAATACATGTTGAATTTTTGGATGGCCGACATGAGTGTGGGCTGATGCTTTGCAATTGCTTTGTGAGTTTGCTGGTGGAGCTTCATACCTAGAAAGAAATGATCAGCATTGTGACACCAAGTCATAGGTTCAGCAATACTACCCAAGGCTTTCTGCTTTCCCCCTACTGTGTGATCGAGTTTGTCCCACTCAAAAAAGCTCCCAATTGCCTGTTTCCAGACATTGATCTTCAAATCACAAGCCAAAAGAAGCATCCAAATGAACTCAATGTTGACACTGTTGAGCTCAGGAAACTTGTCATGGATGTTGAGGGATGCATATAGTAGGTCCACCTTGTTTAAAAGATGATCATGGCTGCACTCCAAACTCTCCAGAGCCTCGAGGGTATCCTCTGTCACATCCTTCTCAATTATTGTGCATGCAGCTTGAAGTGCTTGGTCAGCAACCTCTAAGTCAGCCTGCAACACAAGTACAGTGTCCAGTTCTTTTTTTAATTGAGCCAGTGCATCTAAAGGTGAAGAATGAATAACACAGTCTAATAGATGTGGAAATACTTATGAGCCCATATGGAAAGCTGAGTGCTACATTGGCTAGCCCACTCATTCCACAATTCCAGGGTATCAATTCTGCAATCACCAAGAATCTGACATGCTTCACTACCTTGTTCAGCAATTCCTTTCCTCAGTCAGCATTGAATCCAGTCACCAAGATCATTTCACATCTCTAGCCCTATTGCAGCAGCATGATGATCAATAAGCCAGATATGGTGCTGGTGCTAATCGAATGCTTTTTCAGTTCTGGGTAAACTAGAGTAATGAATGATCTTGCTGACAATGCTTGCTCAATGCCAATGAGCTTGGTGAAATGGGACCAGAGGTGTTCAGTGCCCTCTCCATCAGAAAGACTGAGTCCTGTAGTAATGTGGGGGTTATAAATGAGCTGGCATGCCCATTTGTGGCCATAGGCATGCATTGCAGTTGTTGCAAAGTGGATGCAACAAACAATTTCATTATCAAGGATTTCAAACCACAGGAGGTCAATACTAGTGTATGGGGATGAGACTTTGTATATACCTTGTCTAAAGAACATGTGAGAATGCAACCAATATCATACAATGCAACAACAGTTGCAGTGACTGGCAAGTGGGAGAAGAGGTGTTTGAGAAGGGTGACACTATACTTCTGTTGCTCACCAGGCATGTCGATATTTGCAAAGAAGAGAGGGATGTCATGATGGCATATCAATGCCATAATTCCAGTGTCATCGAAGCAGTCCATTGCAGCCTTCTGCTTGTTGCCATCAGCTGCTTTGTATGATGCTTCACATTGATTGATTGCTTTGTCAGGAACTTCAACATGCCATTGTCTCAGTGGCCGCTTACACACTCATTTGATCTGGTATCCAACATCATCAACTTTAACCTTGGGAATGAAATATGTGGGGTCATAAAATGCAGGACAACTACTGGCTGAGCACTGATGACGATGGTGAAAGTTCCCATCAAGTGCAATATGAATATCACCACCGTCACTCAGCAGCTGTCCAAATGTGCAACCTGTGAAACATGCTGGGCACTTTTGGACAAGTATGGATGCACATTGTGACAATGAGAACTGTTTGGAAGATGGTGGGATCACAGTGAATGATGGTTGCTGAGCAGATTGCATGTGATTGAGATGGTTGAGAACAGTTTGGTGACAATGTTCAATAATACTTTCAGCACAGCACTCAATATGCACTTGCAAGATATCATACCACTGGACAGCATTGCCAATGCTATGATGGAATGGATCTCAAATAACTCCACCCTGTGTGCCATACTTGTAAGTACAAGCAGGTCAGTGAACAAACCACTGACCTCTCAGGTGGTCATCCAGAACCCTCATTGTTCATAATGTGTATTGAGTGCAGAGGTGAGGGCATTGATCAAGTTGCAAGAATGTTCAAACAGTGCCTGATAGAAAGCAAGTAATTCCACAGAAATGGCCAGGCAAGGTTGAGAGGGGGCAGTGGGAAAGAGCCTGGAATGTAAGAGTAATTGAGGAAGTGATGTGCATGTACAACTTAGAACTGTAACAGTTGCAAAACCTGAAATGAGATCAGCCTCTGTGAGGAGATGTGAGGATGTTATGCACGGTCAAAGTATAAACAGAGTAGGGAAGAATGCTTGAGTTCACATCCTGCCTGACAACCGGAGAGTGGTTATTGTAGGTTATAAGTGGCTCTCTGACAGTTTCCACCATATATTGGAGATATGGCTCAATAATCATAGGGATAACTGCCATCCAATTGTCATACAGCTGGTTGATGGCCACACTTGGCATGGAATAGTCAGCAACATCTTTGGGCAACAGTTCATCACCAGAGTGCTGGATCATGTCAGTGTTGTCCAGCACATCTGGAGTGGTTGGTTTGGGGGGAGGGGTGTCAATGTAGATGATGGACTGGGAGATGACTTGTGATTCAAAAGATTGCTCAACTGTTGAAGGAGATGTTGCTGTTTGGCACTTTGACCTGGAATGATAACATTAGTCTGCATTTTCCTCTTGTTACACTGCTTTGTTGGACTCAAGAAATGCTGGCCCAAGCCAAAACTTGTGCTAGGCAATGAACGGTTAGTCCCAGGATGGGGATGCATGTTTCAGAGAAAATATGAAGACAAAAAAAACATACTGTGGGATGTATGAAACGTGGGAGCTGTACAGAGCCAATGTTGGAGGAGGCTCCCCAAGAGCATCCCTGGTGAGTTTGCAAGATGGTAGTACGAGGGTTGAAGAGACATGAGATATGGTGGGATGAAGGTTTGGGGAAGGTGAGGCAAACATGGGGCGAGTGTAGGGGCAGGAAGAGCACCACCCAAAAATGGAAAACGGTTCTCGAAGTGATTCTCAAACCTATTATTAGTACTGGCCAGGTGATTCTGGTGCGGATGGTGGGTCTATTAGATACATTGTTTATGTCACAAAAAGTATATCTAATAGACCCTTAATCCCGCTGAAAAGTGGTGCCTAAGGTGTGACAGCAAAGTGAGGCACTTGTGATGACACTACACGAGGAGCTTTCCTGTGGTTACCTCAAAGTTCCAAGACACCAAGGTCTGTATTTCCAGTACGTAGGAAAATTCTCCCCATATGTTAAGATACATGGCCCTTTTTATAGTAGAGAGAACAGGCACGCAATATCAGTAAGAACAGGTGTGAATAAGAACTAGGTCAATCACAAATGAGATACGTAGAAGAAACGTCAAAAGAATATTGAACAAGTGACGTGCGGCCGACAGCGTCGGTCCGAACCTTACATCACTCTACACAAGATCGCAAGCTTCCCAGTTGCTGGTGAACGGCCATTATGCGTCATGGACCGAAACTAGTGTCGTGGGGTCGATAATTGAGTGCAGGTTTGCATATGTGTGAGACGCACCAAAGAAGGGCTATGTACAACGTGTCCGCACTGCAAAGCATGTCCCTAGGCGCTCAGCTATTTGCAACCGTCCTCTTCCTCGTCGGTTCGAACAACGTACAATCAAACTCACGTATCGTCTATTTCACCTGAATCTTTCTTTCTGAATGGCCCGTCAGCATCCAAAGAAACACCATCTCTTCAAATTTGGGAAGTCCCGTTCCACATCTAACCCTTCTGCGGTACGCCAATTTGTTCCTTTCGACCGAAGGTGTTGTTGATAGAGAAATAATAATAATTCCAGGGACCCGCTCAGGCCCATACCGAGGGTAGCGTCTCCACGGCTGAAACATCCGGCAACGCTTCTCGGGGGACGCTTTCCAGGATGAGGCGCTTCCTCCATCTGTCGAACCACAGTCAGTCGAGTTCCGTCACTCCAGGGGTAGTTGGCGCAAGCACGAGTGGGGGAACACAGGAGCAACAGGGACAGTCCCAGGCAATTCCATCTAAGGACATATGTGACTTGCTATGTCTGACGGCAAGTGCGCTAACCAAGTCCCATCGGACAGAATCAAAAAGCGACCAATAGGACAGAACTAGAACCTGCCCCAGAACAGGGCATTAATGATGCTGTACGAGCGTTCGACAATATGGATCCCATGTCGCGTCTCGGCGAAGGAGCTGGAAACATCGTTACCGACGCCAACATTGCTTTCACTGACATCCAAAACTTCACCGCTACATATCTTCAACCTTTCCAAGTTTTCAATGAAGTTGTCACGACTCTTTCCAAGGTAATCATTTCCATTTTTTGGCTCATTCAATTCGCTGATGGAATGTATGTCTTAGGTCCACCCTTATGCCCAGATTGCACTGGGAATTTTGACGGCCGCTTCTCAGGTACTTTCCAACTCTTACATGCGCCGCTCATCTCACGTGGGGTGGATTGTAGTTGCTCATAAAACAAGCGAATCTAGGCAAAGCAGTGTGGGGCCTCCTGCAAACGATCCGAAGTGTTTACGAATTCCTTACCGAAGAAGATACCATCAACAATATTGACAACATGAAAGATACCCTTGCGAAGATTGCACGGGTAATAAGCGACTCTGCACAGTTCATTAAAGACTATTCTGAAACGAAGAATTTCTGTGAGTCTTAATGTATGTCTTTTGGCACTACAAATTGATGCGATTCATTCTCAGGGAAAAGGGCAGGGAAGAACATAGGTTCCAAAACGCAGGCCATCGTTGACGACTATACCACAACGCTGAATGATCTAATACAGCAGTACCGCGACCGTGCGGTCCGGGATATTCAGATCAATGTGCACCGCGTATTGGAGGACCTGAACCTTGAAGGGATGAGCTATGCTGGTGGCGCAGGCCTTGACATGGCTAAGATATGCCTCGATGGCACGCGGACAGAGATTTTGCGGGAGATCATTAGCTGGATCGCTGATTCCCGCATCGACGCCTCCCGTATCCTGTGGCTCCAGGGGCAGGCCGGAAGAGGAAAGTCGGCTATAGCACATACGATTGCTGCGTGGATCAAGGACGCGGGCGGACTCGGTTCCTGCTTTTGCTTCGCGCATGATAGGCTGGCCGAGCACCGCGAGGAGAAGATTTTAACGACCATCGCTCGTGATCTGGCAGATCGTGACTCGGCGTTTCGGCGCGCACTGGCTGATGTCGTCTCAAAGGACCATTCTCTCAAAGCGACACGAGATGTGACGCAGCAGTGGCAGCGACTCATCCTGGAACCACTGTCTAAGGTTAATAGGGAAATTGTTGGGGATGTAGTCGTGGTGATTGATGCATTGGATGAAAGTGGGACGGACGCATCAAGGAGTCGTATCCTGTCCCTTCTTGCGTCTGAGGAAGCTGCACATCTGCCCGCCAATTTCCGCATTCTTCTGACATCCAGGCTGTTGCCGGATATCGACGAAGCATTCAACGGCTGCCAACATATAACAGTAACTTCTCTTGATGGGTCCCCCTAGCGTCTGCCAAGCATGACATCCATCTATTCGTTTCTAACGAACTCTGTCACCGCCGCTTCGAGGATACCATTGGGCCCAAGGAGATAGATCAAATTACTCAGAAGTCCGACGGTCTGTTTCAATGGGCAAGGTTGGCTTGTGAGTTCATCAAGCGGAAAAGCGCTGGACGAACTCTGAGGGAGCGCTTCGACGATATAATTGCTCTTCAGTCTGGAGAGGGGGGAACACTTTTGGACAAAACTTATACCACGATATTGGAGAGTGCTATACCACGATATTGGAGAGTGCTATACCACGATATTGGAGAGTGCTATACCACTGACGAACCGGGTATCCTTGGCTCGGTTCCGTTCCGTGATGCGACAAATACTGACAACGCTGGTGCTGCTGCCTCTGTCGACGTTGCGATTCATGCGCAAGCACTTCCCCAACGAGGAGGACCACTATGATGTTGTTGTCATCCTGGAGTTCATGGCACCAGTGCTGAGTGGCATCACTAACTCTTTCCCCGTTCGCCCTCTCCATGCATCTTTCTATGACTTCCTCACGGATCAGTCACGGAGTGGGGACTACTTCATCAACACCTCTGGGGCATATGACCTAGCCTTCGCCTCGCTTCAGGTTCTGTGGAAGGAGTTGCAATTCAACATTTGCAGATTAGAGAGCTCCTACTTCAGCAACTCTGAAGTCCCTGATTTACAACAAAAAATAGAGAAATTCATCACACCCCATCTATCCTATTCATGTCGATTCTGGGTCCAACATCTGCAGAGGACTACCTTTAACTTGGATCTTGCAAAGTTAGTGGTAGTTATTGTGGGGAGTGAAAAAATTCTGTTCTGGCTGGAGACTCTGAGCATCATTGGGGAGCTAGGAAAAGTTGTGGGTGCTCTGGTCTGCACTACAACATGGCTACTAGTGAGTAATCTACACTTGGATGCACATAATATGCCCTAACATCCAATCAAAAGGACCAGCCAGGGTTTGAAGATGTGTTAGGAATGATGCAGGATGGGATCAAATTAATTCAGAACTTTGGTGGTTCAATCTCACACAGTGCTCCACACCTTTACATATCTGCATTGCCATTCACTCCTTCAAATATGAGACTGTCAAAAATTCTCTTGCCAAAATTCTGCAAACTTCTTGGAGTTCCTGTGGGAGGGCTAAAGGAATGGACAGCTACCCAGCTTGCCTTAGAACATGCCAGTGGAGTTACTTCAGTTGCATTCTCCCCTGATGGCAAGAGGATTGTCTCAGGGTCACATGACAAAGCTGTGAGGGTCTGGGATGCTGAGAGGGGAGTGCAGATTGGCAGCCCACTTCATGGGCATACTGATTCAGTGCAGTCAGTTGCATTCTCTCCTGATGGCAAGAGGATTGTCTCAGGGTCAA